CGAGGTAGTAAAGACAAAACCTGTTAAGTTCATCAGCAGGGAGACCAAGGACCGCAGTTAACCAGTGTGGCACGTACATACTGCGAAAAAGCCGGCGCTGGCAAGACAAAGTGAACAACAGGATTTAAGTTCGCGTTTCAGATGGAAAAGAATGCAGCCGCGGAAAATTAGCTCCTCGACGCATGGCGCAACAACAACGGTTCGTAGCCACCGCCAGTCCAGAGTGTAATAACATTCGCGCAGCCAATCTGAAGGTATCAGAAGAATCATTAAGTTTCGAGATTTAACAGAAATTAAGTGGAAAGAGATGGACGTCGAGTACTTACCACGGACCCGATAATAAGACCTTGCACGATATTCACTGAAAAGAGGCCCCACAAACAAAAGCTGAATGCCAATTACTTGAATGTATGTACAAAACTAACCAGCGTAACTGCAGACGGGAGAAACAAAGCCGCTCCCAATCGTTCGAACTTTAAATGAACTCAAGAGAGATCTAATAGACTGGAAGACAGCTATAAAAGCGAACTACGATTATTTTTTTATAAAAACGGGACAAACCCCTTTCGCGTTGGATCGCTGAACAAAAGTGAGCGTGTCCAAGAGAATGACCAAGCAAGAAAATGAGGCGGAAAAGATCCGGCGCCGGACGTTCTGCAGATCTTGCCTGATAGGAGAACAGTTAAAATAAACATTCATGATGGGTCAAATTTGTAACGGTTTTTTAATGGATAGCTGTTGGGGTCTGCCACAACAAGTAAGGGTGTCCCCCATGTACATGAACTAAGGCACAGCGAAAGCACAGGTATTTAACTGCTACCCAGCCCAAGGATCCTGCGTTCTTGACAGGCCAATGCGATGTGGGTGTTAGCATCGAAAAGACAGTGATAAGAAGACAAAGAATCAGCAGTAACAGACCACATGCCAAAGACAATACTAGAGGAGCATGTACTCAAGACACAAATTATGCCATATATGTTCGACCAAGATTTTCCAAATTACTAAGATGGATCGCTTGAAAAAACTTCAAGCCCAGCGTTCACAGCTGATAATGACAATGGTCGTGACAAAACAGCCAGTCTACGGGTGTGGTTGTGTGGATGATCTTCTTCCGAGATTACATTTGCGAAAAAGTTATTAAGGGGCTCAGGCTCCTATGAGTGTTTGCGTAAAGCGGTCAAAAGCACATCGCTACCAGTTTTGCTACTGCCTATTCGGTGCTCATAATTTTCAGACCTTTCCTCCAAAAATCAGAAAGCGAACTAAGGACGTTTACCTATAAGAGGATTGTCAAAACGTCTGGAGCATACTATCGAAAACGCCGACATCAAACAACACAATGGTGGCGAATTGTATAAGCTTAGAACGATAAAAGTGTAATGGGAAAAAGACCAAACATACCTGTCGACTCCTCCATACAAATATAGTGTTGATATAAATAAAATACAATATGAGGCGCAACGAAAATATGGGTGGGTAACAGATTCTGTAGAATACCCGAATGGCATATTGCTTCACAATAGCCTTAGAGCAAACCTTAATTGCTCACTGCAACGAAAGCTAAAATTTTCAGTTAGTTTAAGCTATAGTATATGTCCCACCAAGGACGTTCAGTGTATGGAACAACCTCGAACAAGCTTATGACTAGATAGTCACAATTATCAAGGGAATTGACGAAGATCAGTGAAGATCGCAAGAGGTTGAAACCTTAAGAACAAAGTGGCGGAAACGATTATGATATTGAAAGACCGGCATGAGCAACACTTATAGGTAGCACATGCATGAAGCAAAAGGCGAGTGATTAATAAACGACTTATGCGGACGGGATTCAGAGGGCTGAATAGTGATTGGTCGAACACTTTTATGCGAGCCGCGACGGATTCTGGGATTTTTCTTGAGTTTAAATTTTGTGAGATTAGGTTTGAGGGATACATCCAATCACGAAGAGATCCGGAAGTTGAAGATTCGCTTTATCTACTCTATATGTTGCCATTCTGGAGTATTTTGTACCTGTGGCTCCCAGACAAAGTCAACTTAAGCAGCTGATACTGAATTTCTAATGGTTTAGGTCTCTGAAGTTTGGTTGCACGGCACGCTTTGCCGCCATGGTAACTTAGGGCAAGCTGCGGGTGAAGGCGCTTAATCTGCGTCACAACCACTTATGCAGTAAACAAATGGCCTCAGCTTGCCCCAAGTTCCGGCGGGTGACGGCGCAGGAGGAAATATACCGCATGTGAATTCATTCTTCACAAGGGAGACTTAGGCGCGACACGACAGAAGAATGACTACAGTACTTATACATGATCGCCATCAAAGACTGCAGCGTTGCAGCCTAGAAATTGCTCAATCCAAATCATATATCGAGGCAACTACTTGTGAAGGATCGAAGAAAATTTAGGAAATCATTTTCAATCATGCTCGAAAGGCACGCGCCAAGAAGGACAAAGAATTATCATTATGGGCTCCCTCCATATCAGGGCTGATTGTTGAAGTGGCCCTTCAACGGATAGAACACTAGGCCAGCAGGCCAAGGCAACGAAAGAAGAAAAAAAATTGATCCGCCCCAGCCCTTCAAAAAGTCAGCCAATCAAGTCCCTCGATCCGGTGAGCACTTCATTTTCATCAGACTGCTGCGTGTACGAGCATGCGTCGTGTATTCGCACACTAAACTGCCTAACTAGTTCGCGCTTGCGTATTCGCCTATGCGTGCGCGGTTATGAGCGACGCGTATGCCGTCTGATGCGCATTAGGCTTCTCGGCCTCAGGCGTCTCAATAATACAAGTCAGTAGTGCCAATTTTAGCGGCTTACGAATACTTCAGGTTAACTTTTTGTCGTCTGCTTGCGTCTCCCGCGTTATTTTTTCTATGTAAATGAGATGTGACATTTTTATTTGCTAATTTTGTCATTTTTACGTTTACATAAGAATTGTTTAAATGACCTGGGCCGGTTTACTTTTTGGTATTCTGGTTGCGGTCCGATACCCCGCGGCCGCGAGGTAGATTTCCAATAAGAGCCATAACGTTAGGGTTAACGAAGTGTAACAGTTTGCGGACGTTTTTTCGCTTCCTTCCATGTGATTGGTTGAAGGTTTTCACGCATGCTCCAATAACCTTTACGAATCTTCATGATTATAATTTTCGTGAAATTCCGTTTTGGTGAAACTTCCCGTCACTGGATGACCCGGAGGATGCTATAAAAAAATTCGGCCAAGTAAGGAATATCAAATGTTAAATATTAGACGACCGGCTTCTATAACAAGGCAAGATGTGCCCGCGTTTTTGACGTAATTCACAGAAGACTGACAGAATTATGTCAACATTCTTTTCAGTGGACTAGAATCATGAATTCTGCCGACCGAAATGGCCAAAACGGTTAGAATTTTCAAAGAGATGGGCTTTCTGGATTTTCGCAGGTTAAGTCTTCGTTCTCGGATAAGTTGGTTTAGTTAATGCACCATAGCAGATGTGCTATAGTATTAAAACAAGCACTGATACTGCGTGCACGATTTAACTGTCTGATGCGAAAACGTCATACAAAATAGCTATGATGTGCTGATGCTCAGGACTAGGAAATAACAGAAAGTAGGTTGAAATACGGCTACCTGTTTTGGACATTTCAGGCTGTTTGCTAAAATAATGGATTAATCATCGCTTCCAGCTTCCAGCGGGCCGTTCGCAACGTCAGCCGGTTGGCTATGGCAGTAAAGATGTTCTGTCATTTGACCTGCTTAACTGGTGAACTGTACAGAAACGGCTGAATTTGACCACAGTCAGTAGGAAAGGTGTGTAATGAAACGTAATTCACTATCGCATTTCCATTATAATTATTATATTAATTAGCTTTATTTATCATACTTCTCTGTGCCATTTATTTGTTTTAACTGAGAAACATCGTCTTTGTTCGATTATTTCTTGGTCATGGGGTTACGCATATCTCTGGGTTTCTTCTAACGCTCCCGTCTAGCGCAAGTGTACAGTCAATGAGGCCCAACGGGATTGGACGCAGACTAGACGTTATTTTACTGAAGGACCTATGTACAAAGACGCACTCAGGGAGGAATCCTTATTATAAAAATAAACTGAATATGGGACGATAGTCCACAGGGGCGGCTGAGAGCACTGTGATCCAATGGAGAAGGCGACAGGGGTTCCTCGTCCGAAGAGCGGCAACCGGCCACGGGGTTGTCGGAGCCTAATCCTCACCAGTATTTAAAGCTTCTCGAGGGGCCAAGGGCGTCAAGGTTGAGTCCGCCACCGTTGAGGGTAGGTCAAGGGGAAAGCTAGCAAACTTAAGCCAGAGCCATTTTGTTTAATTTAGGGTTATATTAATTTATTGTATGCATACTTTTTATGAGAAGCCAAATTGCGACTATGTACGTGGCGTATAAATTTGGAAATGTTTGGCGCAAACGCCCCTTTAGGGGCGCGCCTTCTAGAATCTTCTACAAGATGGCAGTACGTATTCTGGATTTCTGGAACTTCCTACATTGCCAATAGAAGCGAAGAGACGAGTCTCAGGATGCACTCTTGAAGAAGAAGAAGAAGAAGAAGAAGAAGAAGAAGAAGAAGAAGAAGAAGAAGAAGAAGAAGAAGAAGAAGACACGATTGCCGGGACAAGAGCTTTATTAGCCTGACGTTTCTGATTCATGCTCGAATCCATCCTCAGAGACATAAGCAGATAAGGGTGTTTCATGCATAAATGGTCTGCATTATTTATAGGATACAGTCGCCATGCTACCGCATACCTAGGAATATTCACGGCTCCCTCCCCTTCATCAGGAATCGTTGCACGTGGCGTGATGGCCGACATTCGCGTCGTTAATTGCTGCAATTTCATCACGTGCGTTGGATGTTGGTGTGATGATTGCTCGACCATCTGACGCGCTGACCCGAGTGTTGGGAAGAGTGTTCACCAGTGCGCTCCGCCTAGACGAAGTCTCAGCACGGTGTATTGAATGGGAAGATCATTGCACTTGTTCATAGACTGGGGGCCAGCGAACTATGACTCAAGCAGCTCCCGGCTCACGCGGTTGTCACCTCTTGCGAGAATTTCGGCCTCGTCTAAGTTGAATGTGTGGTCGGAACCCGTCGAATGAGCCGCAACTTGAGAGCTGGCGTCATTTCTCCGCACCGCAGCAGCGTGTTCGGCTATTCGCGTTTGGAGTTGTCTTCCGGTTTCTTCGACGTAGTTGCCTAGTCCGCAACTGCACCAGATCCGATAAACGACTCCAGACGTTTCTTGCCGTGGCAGTGGGTCTTTTGGTTTCATCAACTGACGCCCGATGGTTGCCTCCGGTCTGTGTGCAATTCCAACCCCAATTGGTGCGAGAAGGCGGCCGACAGCTTCCGAAACGTTCTTGACATATGGAAGCGCTCGCCAAACCCAGGTGTCCGTGCTGTTAGGCCTTTCGTCCCTTTTGCGTATGCACCGGTTGACAAAGTTGCGCGGGTAGCCATTGGCTTTGAGGACCCGTCGGAGGTATTGTAGTTCGGCAATCTTATCTTCCGGCTCACTGCAGTGCGTTTCGACGCGCCGACAGAGCGTCCTTACACAACTGCGTTTGTGACTGATTGGGTGGTTGCTGTTGAAGTTCAGTACTTGCATCGTATTTGTCGCTTTCCTGAACACTTTGGTCTTTAGTCCACCACAATCCTCGCGGCATACGAGGACATCCAGGAAGGCCAGCTGGTTGTTCTCTTCCTCCTCCATCGTAAATTCTACGTCCGGGAAGACCGCATTCAGACGTTCCTTGAATACCTCAGCCCAAACGTAACTTATTTCTAGTGGAACCACTAAATACTGTTCAACTAGTTGGTCGTTATAGGCGTGGGACGGGCTGGCTTCCGAGTCGGCACTGTCAGTGTCCTCCTCTATCGATGGACATGGCTTTAAACGGTTGATGTGTATTGTCAACTCTTCCGCGTATGGCCTGTCCTGGCTGCGAACGACGCGAGTCGTGTCGGAGAAGACCTTTCTAACTACGTACGGGCCTATCCACGCTGGGTTAAGTGTTGGAGGGGCAGCCGGCGACGCTGTGAAATTTCGCATCCGCACGATGTCTCCCGCTGGATATGGAGCCCCGTGTGCTAGGCGATCATAGAATGCTTTTTGACGACGCTGACCTTCCTAAAGATGCAGTCATGCTTCCTCCGATGCTATGCGCGGGCCTTTCCGCATCCTTGAGGCGTACGTGTCGATGTTCTCCATCGGATGCGTAGGAGGGAGGTGGAGATCCTTAGGCATTTGAATCTTCCTGCCGCATGCTAGGAAAAACAGAGTGTTTTATGCAGCGGCGTTTACCGTGGATTGGTAAGCCAAGATGCACGTTGGCAGGGCTTCTTCCCACGCGAGTGTTAAGTTGCGGTCGACAAAAGCCCTCAACAGGTTGACCAACGTCCGATTCGTCCTTTCCACCTGGCCATTGCATTGTGGGTTGTACGCGGTAGTGCGTTTTCTTACGTTTCAGAGTATTACACAACACGTGTACGACAGTGCTCTCGAACGATTAGCCTCGATCTGAGATAGCAGCACGTAGTCTGGCTTTCTAGGACTTCCTACATTCTGTAGCGAGCAAGCGGACAGGGTGTAATGACCAACTGCTTAAAAATGCACCTTTTGGCTCCTCCCTTCCCCTTTCATAAATCGTGGACGCGAGCTAACGCCTTCCTTCGCACCTGCTGCTAAGTCGCCCTTTTTACCGTTTGTATTTCCAACTTTGATTACCTGCTACGCTTGTCCTTTTATTTTATACCTAGACGCCCCTTTTTCCCAATGACGTTTTCCCGATTCACCAAGCCAATTCCTATTTCCGTTATCGTTTTACTATCTCTCGCATATACCCCTTACTATCACAAGAGTATACCGACCCGAGCTTATTTTACTCCCCATTTCAGTAACGTTTCGATAATAAACCATTTATAGCCAATTCGTTTATTTACTACTATGCCTACCCTACCCCTGTCTTTCACCAGTGTGCATGAAGGTGTAACACAAATTTTAAAAGAAATATCTCTGTCTTCTCGTCAGAAGGAGCCCAAGCCACCACGCCCGATGATTGACACATGCGAACCTCCACACGCACAACCCTACTCGGCCGCTATCAAGGAACCACAGCAAATAAGAAGGTCTCTTAACGCGAGAGGTACGTGCGCGCATGCTCGTGTGTACAATAGAGGCTAGCTCTGAGATTCCGTACGAATTCGTGAGGGTGGGCTTGCGACGAAAGCGGAAGAAAACCGGAATTGTCAAGTGGAAGGCATACCTCACGACCCTATATAAGGGCAAAATGTGTGTCACCCGTTGACGAGTGCGTGGCAGATCGATAGGTAAGAAGGCACTGAGGCAAAGCGTCATCCCAGGAGGAGCCACTGCAACTGCCCCCAAAGGCTTGAATTAACTCTTTGAGCGTCCTATTCGTTTGTTCGACATGCACATTGCCTTGAGGGTGGAAAGGAGTAGAATGAGATTTACGAATGTGAAGGAATTCATAATGTTCATCCATCAAACGCGAACCGAACTGAGCACCATGATTGGAATAGAGCCGCCGAGGAACGTCATGACGGCATATCCACTCGCTAAATATGACTTTGGCTACTATAATAGTATCGGCCTGCGGGAGGGGCACGGCTTCGTACCACTTGGTGAAAAAGTCTACCAATACAAGGATATACTGGTTTCCGGAGAGGGAAGGGATAAGGGACCCATTAAGTCGACACGAACAATTTCGTTCGGGTAGCCTGCCTGAATGGGCTGCGTCGGTGCGCGGCACGTTGGGTTGGGATTTTTTAATCCACATATACAGGGTAGGTGTTACAAATGTCCTGGATGATCCGGCGTTGATTGGGGCATCAAAAACGGTGTCGCGCAGTCGTGTCTGTACGAAATAGACCGGCATGACACAAACCACTATGGAGGAGAGAGAGGGAGTAGGGTGGATGGCATCATGAAGTAAAGCCAACCGAACTGGATTGGTAGGAGAGTACTGCAGGAATAGCACGTCGTCGAAAAGGCGAAGGCTGTTCCACGCCGATCAAAGGCACCGAGTTTCCCAGCTAGAACCTTTCACCTACTCGCTTGACGGTTTCGGCGAGCGGCGAAGAATACTATCACACATAAGCGATATTTAGAGCACTTCGGCTTGAGCCGATGCCCGTCGTGAGTGATTAGGAGCGCCAAACGCAACAACAGCCACCTGGGCATGTGTATAGATAGATAGATAGATAGATAATTTTTATTAAAGACCCGTCGGGGTCCCATCAAAGCAAGTTAAAATAGATTTGCATGCGAGTTTTAGACGAGGTAGGCTGAATCTTTACAAAATGCAATTCATAGTTTCTGAATTAGAA